TTGCCTCTGTGTCGTCGTTCTGTTCTCGCGCTATAACTATATCATCAGTTAGTGGATTCCACTGTCAACCGCACTGCAGCAGCCGCTGCTCCTATGCGCGGATTGTCTGTTTCGGGCTGGAACATTGTCGAACGAACAGCCTCAGGAGGGTGAACCAACGTCCACAACGAATGTTTCCGAGTGCAATTATGAATTTGTTTTACTTGCAGCCCCATCGTCCGGACCGAGAAACCTCCCAGATGGCCGATAAGCACGCCGATGTCACCGACCGCACTGCTGGTCAGAAAGTGAAACTATATGTGTCGATGTTCTCGCAGTTTTCTGCAGTTTTAACCTTGCGATACTAATTAGTTCGGGTGCTTCGAAATTTCAATGGGCGTAAGTGCCTCTCTCCAGCATCTACAAGCATGTACATGCAGCAAGCGAAACGTCACGGTAATCGACGGCGTACTGGTGTACGACGCAAGTGACCCCGTTCTTGAATGTTAGCAGCCGATGCCGTCAATGGAGATCTACATCACCGTCGCGGCTCTGGTCCTGAAAACACGTGCACTTGCGAACCCGCCACACAGCGTCCCCGTGGCATTTATTTATTTATTTATTTATTTATTTATTTATTTATTTATTTATTTATTTATTTATTTACAAATACTGCTGTCCCATGCCTGGGACATTGCAGGAGCGGGTACAGAATAATCAACGAAAGCACAGAAACAAACAGTAGTGCGCACGAATTTATGGGACTAACACATAAAATTTTTACCGAACTCTGCAGTGTTCAGTCTACGCAATGCACCATCAAGCTTGTTCCAAACTTCCACCACACGCGGAAAAAAAAGAGAATATGAAACAATTCAAACGAGACCTGAAGGGTACAAGGTTCAAAGCGTCTGTACTACGTGTTGTACGCGCTGGTATATCAGCGAAAGATAAGGGCGCGTGAACGCGGGTCATTTTGTGTACAATCTTGTGCAACAAGATAATACTCTCACGCGTACGGCGGTGTTCCAGTGAATGAAGTGACAACAAATGAGCATGTGAAGACGGGGAGAAGTCCCGATCATAACGGTTAAAAACGAACCGTATAGCCTTATTCTGCACAGATTCTAACCTGTTTTTATCTTGCTCAAGATGAGGCGACCAAACCACAGAGGCGTACTCAAGCATCGGTCTCACTAGTGTCTTGTAGGCAGTTAACTTAACGAACGGTGAAGTACTGCTCTGTGCTCAGTTCGGCGTATTTCGTCCGCCTGTGAAAAGGAAGCATTCACAACAATCCTAAAGAGAAGGGTATTCCTGCCCTTTTCCTTATAGGATGTTTTTTTTTCTCCAGTGCAACGATATATAGTGACAGTGAACACGAGTATATGTGTGAGAATCACCGACTTCTGTCACTCTGGCATACACAACAACACGTGCTCATGCAGTGCACGCAGTTTTCATTAGCGAATATTACTTATGTAACTATACAGTCACGATCCTCCCTGAAAGAAACTGTTGGAGCGTGTGTGAAATATATGTGTGAAAATTAGTCTAGCGAATGATATTTCCGTCACGTATCCGGGCGGGATACTCACGATAAACCATATAAATCTTTACGTTGTTTTCAAGTGTTCGAAGAAGTCATTCGTGTTGAAAAACTGTTCAGCCGAGATACAACAGAATTCGTTGGCCACATTATATACCTTGAGGCATTTTGATTTCGCGAGTTACAAAGCATCGCGTCTGGCGGGGACGGTGTGTTTCTACGCTTCCCCCTAAAAGTCGGCGTGGGACAGTGGCGTAAATATATCTACGGGGCACGGCCCACTAGTTTTTGTGAAAGATGATATCGCCAGACCAGCCCTGTGTGAATAGAAGTTTAACGGGGAACACGACATCAAATTTGGTTATAACAACGCGAGTTTCGTCTTCTTTGCCACGACTTGGGGCGCGGCGCTTGGCCTTGGCAAGTGTAGATAAATTTCGATGCGGATGACGATCTGACGTTGTGAAAGTGTTGGCTCCTTACGTAAGTGGGTGCTGCGGTGAAGGCCTGTGTCGCCTATAGCTCAGTATTCGTATTTGCCGGATAACTTTGCTACCCTGGCACTGGGTGCCCTTAATTGCGTTGTTCGAAGAGCAGGGACTCGATCTTCAGGCGTGAGGCTCCCGTCGCCTTCATGTGGCGCCACGTCGCCAAGACGAGAAGCACAGACGTTATCATTGTCTTCCATACAGTCGGGAGTGAATTTCAGTTACTGTTGAAAGTCTTCATTGGTTCGGAGCAGATGTCACCAATTACGACGAAGCTGAAATCCATGCATTGTCCGTACGCACAATGTATGAGTGATGGTTGACTGATTTTTCTACGGGGGCCTTTGTGTTCCACCCAGTCTTTCCGAGCAGCCTAACAGTGTCACGTTCGCCCAATTCTTCCAGTGGACGCCTGTGAGGATGCATTTGAGTGTGCTTCTGGCACCTTAAATGGTCCCTTAAGTCTAGCATAGCCTTCCTATCAGGCTCCTGAAAATTAAGAGCTCGCACGGTGCTTTTCTGCCTTCGAGTGGCTGCTCGTCTGTCATTGAGATGTCCGATCCAGAAGTCTTCATTCATGTATTCAAGATTACGTTTAATCCCGTCACTTCTTTCTCGCCAATCTGTTCAATCGTGGAAAGCAGGGTCTCGGCATAACGTGACCAAAGTCACACCGTCTTGCAAAGGCTCCAAACGCCTGTGATGAGAACTGTGGTCCGCCGTCTGTACAAACTTCCAGCGCAATGCCGTGGCGTGCAAATATCATGGCCAACTTTTGTATCACACAGTGGCTGGTGTTTTGTGGAAGCGGCTCTACCTCGGGGTAGTTAGAATATGCATCGTATGCTGCGAAGAAAGTCTTTCCCGGCATGCTCGACCAAGTCTACACCGACCCTAGCCCACGGTAGTTCAGGGCTGTTCCTGGGCAATAGGGGTTCGCTCGGCTGCCTGTAAGCAAAACGCCGGCAAGTTGCACACCTGGAAGCTTATCGCTTATTTCTGCCGCTATTCCAGGACAGTACATGAGTACCATTGCCATTGCATTGCATTTTCTGACACCCAAGTGCATTCATTTAGACGCTGCAACATTTCATTTTGGCAGCACTCGTGCACCTCACAATCGTATCGTCGTTTGACACGTAAAGCGCCAGAATTTCTCCAACGATATTACACGCAGCCCGCGCAGAGATGAGGCCATAGCACCGATGCATTCTGTATACTCGACTGCAGTATGACTGACGGTCGCACATCGCAAACGCGCTGCAGCTCCCGTGGCGTTTTCTTCCGCTGCACCCGTTTTGGTTTTCCTGAGGTGTTTACGTAACACCACGACTGCGCAGTCTCGTGCGCGGGCGACCGTGTTTTGCATTTGGCGCCCAAAGCGGGGCAACGAACTCTGCGTCTCGCTCGTCGCGCTCAGTGACCGCACGGTGGCGGGACGGTCGCAGGAAGCGCCCGCGTCTTGCTCCGAGCGCCATTTTATCTTTTTACGCGCCTCTCTCTTTTAGCTTGTGCATAGCTGCTTATGTAAGTAAGCACGTGGCGCGCGTCGTGTGCCGCTACAGCTAGCGCGGGAAAAAAACACGTCCGGTCAAGCGTGCGGCGCCATTTCGCACCACGGCAGCGGGCGCAAAATATATCTGCATGGCTTTGCGATCGATATTTTGGTGCGCACACCCCTTGGCTGGGAAGCACAAAAAAACCGCTCTCCCGCGACCGCGGCGACCGGAGCATATCCAGCATCACTGCTGCTGCATATGGTGCCGCTGACACATGGGGCGCCTACGGTGTGCCGCAGTGAAGCAATCGTCCAGGGAGCAAATACGTGTATTTCTAGTAGAAGCTCATACGCAATCGGCATAATTTTGCGAGTATTTAATTTCTGAGGTAGTCGGTCGTACATAGTTCCATCCTCACATTGCGCTTGTATATATAAACTAAATCGTGTGAGGGAAAAGGTGTACAGAGACCCCCCACCTGTGACAAAATTTTGGTAATTGCGGGTCTCTTCCGCAGATTAAGATATGTCCGATGAATCGTGACGGGTGGCAGAGATATTGTGCACACAGCTTGTGTTTCCAAAGCGTACGGAGCCGAGACCATTCCCCACAAACACTAATGGGAGATACTGATGCAGTTGTACCGGTATTTGTCATTCGGTAAATGTTGCCCATTGTATCCTCCCCTAAAATAGCTTCTCCTCACTCTTCCAGGTTTTTATGTTAGATTAATCCAGGAAACAGCACTACCTAAATGCGTCTTACGGTTGTTACATGTAGGTAATATAACTAGCGCCGGCTGATTCAGCACACACCAAAGGTTATTCACTCGTGCTCTTCGTTCGATTTTTATCACGACCCATCTAACGCAAGGCGCTCCTAACCCCACCCGGTCTTTCCCCGAGACGCCGGTGTCTGTCAGCGCGTTGACGGCGCCTCGGTAAGCCGCTCAATCCGAGATTGCCCACGTCGATGCCAGCCCGGCTCGAGAGACTTTCAGCTATTTCGTTCGCGCAAATCCTTCGCACCCTCGCTCTCTCTTTTTCAAGGGCCTGCGTCCCATGCGGCGAGCAGGCGGGGTTTTCTTTCCTCCTCTCTAGAAATGGAGATCTCTCCACATTTTTTTCTTGCCGCCTCCGTTCCTTTCATTCCTCGACCACGTCTCCTCCCTCCAAATCTCGTGCCGTACATGCCGTGCCATCTTTCGCCGACTGGGTTAAGCATTCACATTCGCAGTTTTTAATTAAAAAAAACGCCTTCTTGTCTCGCTTTTTTGTGAACGCGCTTAATTGCCGGCGTTTCTCCCGCGCCAACACAAAACTTGCACGGACCTGCGCTGAGGGAGGCGCGAGTACACAGAGCCAACACTCTTTTTGCTCTTGCTTTCGCGCGGCAAAAGCGGCACTCGCTGTTCTTTCAGGTCTGGCAACAACAAAGACACGCTCTTTTTTTTCGCTCTTCCGCCGCCGCCCGCAAAAATAACTGGCAACCCTGGCGCCGATCAAATGGATCGTTGACATCGCATATTGCGTTTTTTTCTTTGTTCCTTGGATGGACGTGCGTGAGTAGTTTTTGTCTTTGCGTGAGTCCAGCGCGAAACTTCGTTGAACGCGAAGAAGGCGTTGAAGAGCCCGGGCAGCGTCCAAGTGCAGCGCACGATGAAGTTGGAGCCCTAAAAAAAGAAGCCAGCGGCAGTGAGCCATCTTGTTTTTTAACGGACCACCTTCGTTTTTTTTTTCTTTTTCGAAAAATACAAAAAAGTAATTATTGGCGTTTAACGCGCGTGCGAGCGGCCTAAGCTCGCGCTAGGCGAGTTTTGGGGCCGACTCGATCAGGTCGTGGAAGGTGTTTGAAAAAATTTTGCTATGTTTTTTTCTTTTTGTATGTGTTTGCTTTCGGCCACCAGAAGGCCATTTTTTCCAGGCTCCATTCGGCTTTCCTTTCTTGACAGCTGACAGCATTAGGGCAAATTTTTAGGGGTAACGGGTCTTGGCGAAGTTATTTCTGGGCACCACCGGGCCAACTCGGACGCCGGCGGTGCAGGGAGAGCGGCGGATCGTCGAGGCGGCCCAGCGAAATGAGCAGGTTCTTTTTATTGTTTCCGCTTGAAATTTGTTTGTTTGATCGCGTCTCGTACGGGGCGCCCTTTTTTCAAACGGCGCTCCATGGACGATACCTGGTGAGGTTGTGGCCGCGATGGAAGGCCCAGTAGCGCCCGGGCGGCCCTCTTCGTGGACTGTGCTAGCCGCCGAGTCGCTCAGCGGCCGCTCGCCCTTTGTCTCGGCCGGGCCGGGGCCGTCGCTCGAGTAGCCGTTCGCGGCAAGATGTAAACAATGGACCCAACCTTCGGTTTCTCATCGGGGCTGCCCACCCAGATCCCGCTCTTCACGTCAGCCCACCGGCTGTTCAACTTTTACAATTTGGAGAAGGAGTCTATGCTGTACAGCGAAAGTGGCCCCAGGGAGAACAGCGCCAATGCATCGTCCGCCCCGGGCCCTCCTCCGAACGCGCTCTGCGTGGCCAACGCCGGCGGCGCGCACCACAGCGGCTCGCACGCGGTCTCGGCCGCTGCAGCCGCCGCCGCCGCCGCCGCTGCTGCGGCCAACAGCGTGCACAGTGTGAGCACGCAGAGCAGCCCGGTGCCGCATCAGCAGCAGCAGCAGCCGGGCCCTCCGCCGCCCCAGCAGCAGCAGCAACAGCAGCAGACGGGGGGTCCCCAGCCGGGCCCCCAGCCCCACTCCGCCGCAGCCGCTCAGCCACAGCCCAAGGCGCCCGCCAAGCGGGGCGAGTTTCCGTGCGAAATCTGTGGAAGAGTCTTCACGCAGAAAGGGAATCTGAAGAGTCATATGTACTGTCATTCTGGTGAGAAACCGTACAACTGCGACGTGTGCGGCAAGGGATTCACTCAGAGGTCGAGCTTGGACTACCACCACACGCTGCACCTGGGCGAGAAAGCCCTTCGGGTGCGAGGTGTGCGGCAAGCGGTTCACGCAGAAGGGCAACCTCAAGACACACATGAACTCGCACACGGGGGCCCGGCCGTTCCGCTGCGAGATCTGCGGGCGCGGATTCACCCAGAAGGGCAATATGAAGACTCATTTGGCGACCCACTACGGGGAAAAGCCGTATGCGTGCGAGGTGTGCGGCAAGCGGTTCACCCTCAAGGGCAACCTCAAGACCCACGTGATGGCCCACGAGGGCGTCAAGCCCTTTGCCTGCGAGGTGTGCCACAAGAGCTTCTCGCAGAAGCTCAGCCTCGAGTACCACATGAACAGCCACATGGGCCGCAAGCCGTATGCCTGCGAGGTGTGCGGCAAGGGGTTCACCCAGAAGGGCAATATGAAGACTCACATGCGTTCCCACTCGGGCGAGAAGCTTCACACCTGCCAAATCTGCGGGAAGGGGTTCACCCAGAAGGGCAATATGAAGACCCACATGAAGATTCATCTGCGTCCGCCGTCCCTCGACAAGCCCTACTTCTGCGGCATGTGCGGCAAGTCGTTCGTAATGAAGTCGAGCCTCGAATGCCACATGGCCACCCACGTGCCCAAGAACGGCGCCACGGGGCCAGCGGGGAACCACCCCAGCCATCTGACGCTGGGGCCGAGCCACCTGGCTCTGGGCACGTCCCAGGCGGCACAGGCCGCCCAGGCGCAGGCCCAGCAGCAACAGGCACAGGCGCAGGCCCAAGCGCAGCAGCAGGCCAACCAGCAGCAGCAGCAACCTGGCCAGGCCTCATCACCCGGTTCTCCGCCGCCCACCATGGTGCCACCACGCAGCCTGACCAACATCCAGGCCAGCATCCAGAGCATGGGGGGCCTGAAGGGCATGTTGCCTAGTGGGGCGGCGGCCCCACCCCCGCCACAGGGGGCTGGACCCAGCAGCGGCTCCTCGGCCATGTGCGCCCTTGGTGGCGCACCTCCGGCCGGTGGAGGAGACAAACCCACTGTCGTCGTGCCTGGAGGTGCCGTCCTCTCCGCCCTCTGAGGGTGAGTATAGTCGCTCCTGACACGGGTACCTAGACGTTTATTAAGTTGACAGCCATTGCTGATAGCTTGCCCGTGACGTCGTGCATGCGCAACATGGCTCAAGAATGGGCGGTTTAGATTATATGGTGAATGGGATCACACAGTGATGAAGTGTGAAAACAACGTTACAGGAATATTATTGAGCCTCTGTGCATGAATATTGAAAGAATCGTCGTACATTGTACTGATAACACTAATTCAACATTACAAAGTTTGCATGCCAGCATGTTGCGGCTTTAACGTGGCTGTTTCGGTTGCACCAGTTGAAGCCATAAAAAAAAAAATTACAGGCGTTTTCTCTATCAGACGAGGGTTATCGCCACAACTTCAGCTACTTTAAAAGCTATAGAAGGTATGCACTTGACGTCATCTGCAAGGATAGGTAGCGTCGGGGTCGCCATTTTGGAGGCTTGCGCGCTCGCCACACGCTCAAAAAAACTTCCTGCATGCGCTGTGTCCGAGATGCATACAGCAACTTGGATGTCTAGTGACCTCTAGCACACCACCTGCATGCTAAAGCATGAACAGCTAGATGCACATACGAACAAACCTTAAAATCTGCGCGAAGAAGCGTTTCTGCCTTGCAGATCAAGGCTCAGTGCATATCCCCTACAGAGTTCTGCTGAGCACAAGGAAGTGGTTTCATTCTTGGTGTTGTCTCTTTCATGTCAGTGGGGGCAGAGTGTGAAGACATTTTTGTGGTCAGGGTTGAGTGCTCCTTGCCTTGGATAATCAATGACAAGATTTCGACGTCTAGTAACAGATTCCAGCATCCCTTTTGCGTTGAGTAGGATTCATATTCGTACTTTTAAAAGTAACAAAAAAGTCAATGCGCTTTGCAGCTGAGCAGATGAGTCTTAGAGCTGGATGATCGAATCAATCACTTTGCTGCGTGTGGTCACGTATTCTGATGCTCTCACAGGCACCATAATTAGAGTATGTATATAATCCAGCCCCGCTCAATTGTGTGATGCTTACTAAGTTAAAATTGAGAGTTGCACTTTGAAAAGTTGTGCTGTCTTTGCAGTTGCCAGTAGGCCACGAAGTGCACGCGTGCGCAGTAAATCACCGCGCTTGAACACAAACCGCTCTCGCGCTCACTGTTAGCTGCGGCATGTGTAGTCTTGTGTGTATACGACTTCATATCTGCCATCCCAGCTGTGGCGGCTGCACTTTCGGTGGTGGCGAAAAGGCTCTGGGTCTGTGCGCTTGGACCTAGGTGCACTTCAAAGAACCCCAGGTGGTTGACATTTCCAGAGCCCTCCACTACGTGTCTCTTAATCCTGTGCTGGTTTTAAGACGTTTAACCCCATCAGTTAATTAACAATTAGTTAATGACTTTTCACTAGAGATAGAAAAATTCTGGTTGTAAATGGCTTGCGGCAGTTTCAACGTTCCTTTATTAAGCACTGGCTGGCGAGATTTCTGTTGCGCCCAAGAAAATGAATACTTTAAAAATTGATTGTTGGTTTCTTTAATATAGCATTGTACAGTCGGGTTCACAGTTAAAAGGAACACTTGCATATGCAGCACATTTGTATTTCACTCTCTGGCAAAAGCACAGTGGCTTAGATTTATACGAAACTTTGGTGACCAGTTGTTCTGTCTCTTTTTGACAGACTAGTGCCCGGATGAAGCATTGTTTTTTTTATCAACTTGCTATTAGAGGTCCTGCAATTTGAACGATACTCATTGTTGTGTTCCCTTTAACAGTGGACGGTACTGAACATTACTCGTGCAATGTTTTGGCTACTGCAATTTGAAAATTTTCTCCATCACGTCACTTTTGATCTCACATTTTGCCCTGGTTTGTGCTGTTTGCTTTCTCTTTAGAATCAATGCATGCACGACTTCTCACCTGGCAGTGTAAAAGCATTGCTCAAGTTTGTACATCTGCCTTTCAAGGCGCACATGATCGTAACCAAATATAACTCGCACAAAAACGCCCTATCTGCATTTCATTTCTCGTATGTTGCTGATGTCAGCTTATCTTTTAATGCTTGAATATTTGTTCTAGTTGCTCGGAAATTTGATGCTAGTATTCCTGTACGCAGCATATGACATTGTACATGCAACGGTGGCTGTGCAGCAATTTTTATGTGGTGTTTCTCCTGCTTAGTATTACTCTCAGTGCAGCCAGCCCCTGTGTTCTCATTCAGGAGGGATCAAAAACAAATTTCGGGTGGTTGTCTGACGTCACTGATATGCTGCTTGGCACTCAGTGAGGGAACAGCAATATTTGTAGTGTGTGTCTTCATCATGGCTGGCCAGTATCGACGATGCATGTATCTTGGATACTATCTTAAATACTCCTCGGGTATCTTCTACCTGTATCGCGATGCGTCTCGCAAAATGAGTATCTGTATTTCTGTGATATTTGATAATGTATTGAGTATCTTGAGATACAAGATACTGTGATCGCAATGCTAGCGTGCGAAGCATTGGTCGCTGACTGAACTCCATTTCTCAGGCTGGTACCGATGACATAACTTTACCTTTTCTGCCCGACTCCACCAGCGAGGGCAAGCAATGAGGTGCGTGCGTCACTTTCGGTGGAGCAGAGCAACATGTCAGAGCTCGCACAGTCTTGACAAACTACATTAGTGCGTTCTCATGTGCGTATTTCGTTTTCTTGATTTTTTCCCCTTTCTGTTGTGTCAAACCCATGATACTTACCCTTAGCCACTTGCACATGCCGCAATGCGTGCAGCAATGGCTGTACCAATTCTGATATCGTTCGCCAGCTTGTAACTATAGTGCCGCAGATACCGATGTTAAATCTAACAAAGCAAGCGTTTACCTATCAGCTGATATGTTGGCGTACTATGTTGCTTTCTTCTTGCTATTTCTGTTCAAAGAGCTCTTGAAATTATTTATGATTGTTAGTATGAGTGCTTTCTCTGTGGTCTTTCTCTTGCACTTCATATGCTACCTATTGTTTATTTATTTATTTGTTTGCAAATACTACAACCCCGCCAGGGGAATTTTGCAGGATGGGATACAAATACATGCAGCTAGTAGGGCCAACAAAAACGGTAAAAGAAAAAGAAAAAATATAAGTGGTACAAATACGATACAGACATAAGATAGCATACGCTTCTAGTACAATTGCTAATGAAAAGGAAAATAAGCAAATTCAGAATATGGGACATAAACAAATTCAGGAATGGCTGCGACACCACATCGTTGGACAGTTGATTCCATTCACTTACGACCCTGTTTTTTCTTGTTCGAGGGGGAATGCAACATCTTTTTTGAGGTGCAGGCAGAAAAGCTCTGTATTATATCCTTACATTTTTACGATTGCTACTGTTCAAGCATTTACATTAGCTTGAGCTTAATCTTCTGCCAAGGTGACTTGGAAAGCAATTGTAATTATGCGGAAATGCATTGAGTATACAACACCAAACATTCTATTTACTGCTTAGTGAAAGGACCAAATTGTGTTTCTATTATATTCGCGGGAATAATTAAGTGCAATGTTAGGAGAATGATTTTAGAAACATTGTTACATCAAATGGTTCATTTCTCTTATGAATGTCTCGATGAGCCATTTCAGGCTGAGGGACGAATGAGTATCTGTAATATGGATTAATATATTCGCTATAGAACGTGGTTCCAAATGAATGGAAAGCCAGCCAAAGTTTAGTGCTGGCAGCGCTACCTCACGGCCACGTTGAGGCCGCTGCACAGCTGATGCCACTTTAAAAAAAAAAATGGTGACGTCACACTGGTGTTTCGTCTGCTAGGCGGGCACATACAATCAGTCCAGCGGTGTCTCTGAAGGTGTAGACATGCCTCTGTCGCCAACATCGTCGTCCTTGCCGTCGTCACGGTCAACATCGGCAAGTGATGATGACAGCGACCTGGAATTGGGTATCGCCGCGATTCGCGATGATCCTTGCTTGGCAAGCTCCTCGTTAAATGTGATGTGTTCATCAGTACCCACCGACTGTCGGAGCTCAGGAACACCAACTACGCACCTCATGTCATGGGTGTTTGGCGAGTGAATCGCTGATTTCAACTACAGCAGGGCACATGGTAGGAATAGCCCTATCCTCGAGAAGAGGCCTCGTACTGCCAATGAAACCTAACTGGTTCACCAACACAGGATTTACCCTGTAGCAGCTCGCCGCAAAGTGAAGGGAGAGAATGCAGCTGTTCTTCACAGGCGTACAGTCCCTCTGTCCAACGGCGCGTACGAAGTCAACCTACTGGCTGCGTTGAGGTTCGTGGCTTGGAAAGGCATGAAACGCCACGCACTTTCCGCTTTTTCCGCGCCTCGACGTGCGGTTTCTCACTACGCAGTGGTTCCCCGACATTCTGGCATGTATTGTCGCTCTGAATGATCGTACTCACACGCAGTGGAGCACAACGCAAGTCAGTCGATGCGACATGATGAATGGCAGGCACGCCTCGACACAGCAAGGAGAGCCACTAGTGACAGCATGGCCGAGAGTCTGCTCCAAACACACTCGGAGATCCTCGACGTCATCGTTACTAGCGTAACGTCACTCGGGATGGTATTTGTGGATTGTATCACACCAAACAAGTAGCGCTAGAGTCATCGCAGGGCAGTCTATTTTTCGTTTTTTCTTCTTAGCTTTTCTAGGCTGTTTGACGTCGAAATAAAATACCTTCGACGTGACAGACACCATTAAAATTTGGCCAAGAAGACCTATGCATACCGAGTGATAAAATGATGGGCATATCTTGGATCTTGAAACTTGATGTCAGTGCTTTTTTAACAGGGACGTCGACGGTGCTTCATGCTTAATTGTCATCGCTATTAGGATTGCCACCTATATCGTGTATCTCACCTTATTCATCATGAATGCTTGAAACTGATTGAATTATCTATCTCACCTAATATTGTTTTCCTTTTTTTTTTAGATCTCTTTACTGTTTTTTTTTTCTACTTATTGTCAGGTAATTGTAGCTATTCAGCAATAGAGTGAGTG